AACAAATAGTCTTCAATGCACGACTAGAGGGTTTCCGGTTCAATTTCAAATGGTTTTCATGATGAATTCAAAGTGTCTTCCGACCACGTTCAAAGGGTCTTTACATAGAATGGAAGACTTCAAAGACAAGCATTGAGTATTTGAATGATAAGCCAATTATTAGTCCACAGAGTCAGAGTCATAAGCTCGAAACAATATTGTATGGTGATAGTCTGAAGGACTCCTATAGCAAAAGCAAAGATCCAGGACTATGTAGGAACCTATAACATGAAAGAATGATCAAATCCAGCCTAAAGTTCTTTAAATCTGTCCTGATTCTTTTTTAATCTACTTTCTAAAGCCTCAAAACCTAAGAAATCAAGTGAATCTTCCTTCCCTCGTTAAATTTCACCCGTTCCACACACGATCAATAAGATAAACCCAAATTTGAGTTCAATTTACTCATAAATTGCAAAAAGTGCAGGAACTCAGCGATGAGTGAATTTTCCTCATGTTTTCCCGTGGAAAACCTCAAAAATCTGCTGGAATATGAGGAAAATTTACAAAACTCTTACTCAGTCCAGAAGTAGTACAAGTAGACTGAGTGAATCCAATCTTGACTTTTCTCATATTTGAAAAATTTGTCCAGGAAAAACTACGAAAATTTTCCCAGCACTGAGTTCCTGCACTTTTTGCGATTTATGAGTAACTTGAACTACAATTTGAGTTGATCTCATTGGCCGTGAAGACCTCTATAGGCCTTTAAATATGATCTAGACTAGAGAGCGAGCTAGAGAGGGCGGATTCAAAACAAACCACTACACTGCCGATGCAAAAATCTATTGGTGAAGGTAGAGTCAGTTTATAACGAGTCACGCCAAGAGTGAAGCCAAGACTACCTATTGAACTGTCAAACTGGCTACCTATCGTGCAAAGTAAACAAACATTACGATGCTATGAAAGGTCCACGAAAGGTATTGCAATAAAATAAAAAATATAATTGATCATTTAATAAACACGCAGTGACCATTAAATTGTCATGGGATACGTTTGGTAATGATCAGTAATGAGAAATTCTATTATTTTTAATAAGATAATTTGACAAAATCACTGAAATAATGATTCACTACAGCCGCTATTTTTTTTTCTCGCTAGAAGTCATTTGAAGTTGATGTAGAATTCCTTTGTTGCCAAGTGAAAAGAAAGGGAATCTTTCGAAAACCATGCTGCGCGTTCAACTGTTTTTCTCTTGGCGTGACTCATTATACACCGACTCTAGGTGAGGGTATTTAATTTAAACCAGCAATATAGTAATTTTGCTAATGGATTGATTTAGACGCTGCTCGAATGGCTCTGGCTTTGACAGTTCGTTTGGCTCAAAACAGCGAGTCCACTTCTCTCATATTATAGACCCTCTCGGCTCCGGTCCCGGAGGTAGGAATTTTTATCGAATTGCTCCAGATATCTAGAAAAAAAATCAATGAAAGTTACCATTGAAGGCCAAGATATAAAAGGATAAACATCGTGAACGTCCAGAATCAATGTATTACCATTTCAGGGAAAACATTACGACACAACTGACATGCTATTAAAGCTGATAATCTGACGCTAAATACTTACTTTTCTCTGAATTGACAATATATTCAAAGGCAAGACTTTCACGAAAATTATTTTTGAATTTACTAAGACTTATCCAGACCCGCCATCCAAATTTACCTTTGAGATACCAAATATGCAAAGGAATGCATAAGGTTAAGCATATAAAACATGGCAAGATTAGAAGGGCTGAGCATTAGGGTGGTTCAAAATATTGAGGTAATCGATTCCAAATCAGGTTCTGATAGTTCTTTCAAAAGTTGAGCTTATTTGGATGCGAACTCACACTGCAGACAACCCGGAAGAGGTCATCGACTCTGGGATAGGCCTCATACGCGTTGACTTTTTGCAGTTTAGGAGAACATTAGGTCCCTTAATAGCGTTCATATCGACTGGAAGCGATTGGTTTAGGTCCGAGCCCAGTTGAAATGCTTGAGTAAAATTTCAATACGTAGTAATTAGAAAGAGGAGAGATGGGCGGAGAGAATGTTTTTTGCCAAATGAACTGTCAAAATCTGAGCCAATCGAAAATTCCCATTAGAATTTTTCCGAGGATTTCTTATTCTTACTAGAATAAATTTGAGAGTATTGCAATCGAACAGAAATTCAATTACCTTTATGTTTCGTGTGTTTCTCAAATTCTACTAGTTTTTGGGATCAAAAACAATATTCTAACTCTATTGATGAATTGATCTCAGTTGGTTAATTAAAAGCCATGTGTAGCCACACATACTATTCATTTGACTCATAAATTTCATGTGTGCTTCTGGGTGGATTCTGTTTATGTGTAGTCACATGAAAATCATGTGGAATTTCACATAGAAATTCGTCAATAAAAATGTGTGGAATTTTATTAGCAAAGCGGTGCATTTTGACAGTTCGATTGGAACAACTTTTGACAGACATCCATACACGGCGAATGAGAACGACCCAAATTTGAGTTTAGTTCACTCATAATCGCCAAAAGTGCAGGAACTCAGCGATGAGTAAAATTTGTCTCATGTTTTCCCAGGTTTTTCCTGGATTTTCCAAGGAAAAATTCCTGAATTTGAGAAAAGTAAAGATTGGATTCACTCAGTCCATTGGTAGTACTCCGAGACTGAATAAAATTTTCGTCGATTTCTCATTTTCCAGCAGATTTTTTAGGTTTTCCACAGGAAACTCATCGCTGAGTTTCTGCACTTTTGGCGATTAGGAGTGAACTAAACTCAAATTTGGGTCGTTCGCATTGGCCGTGTACTTTTACTGTATACAGTACCCCACGTAAAAATCTCTATTCCGGTCAAAATGGATTTCCCATACAAAAAAATGTATGGATAATCCGTGTCGAACACAAAAGAGAATACTCGCGTCACTTTTCAATAGGTCCTATCTACATTGATCGATTATCTTCATCGACTTTCTCTTTAGATCGCCACGGCCGTGTTCAGATATTTCCGGATATTTTTCACACACAGTTCGGTGGAAGAAGCAACAATCCAACATTTCTAGATAGGGCTGGAATTAGGGCGTAACAGCTTTTGTAAACAATGACTTCTCTCGTTGACTTCTAGCAACTCAAGGCACGCCTACACAAACCAACATATCCATCGGGTAGGGGAAGCCTTCCCCTATTTGATGGTAATGATGATTTGCCAGGGAGAGTCATGTCTTTCGAGAAATCATCGAGAGAAGTCATTGATTACAAAAGCTGTTACGCCCTTATTCCAGCTTTATCTAGATTTAATACCTGATTTAATACGACAAAGACGACAGGAAACGTTTTTGTAGCCTAGTTATTTACGAAATAAAGAGTCGATGAAGAGAATCGATCGATGTAGATCGTTCTATTTGAAAAGCAACATCCATGTATGTAAGCTTCCCTTAATAATTCAAATACATGCATAATGTCCGACAGTCAAGCTGCTCTAAATGCTTTAAAATCGGCGACATGTACATCAAAACATGTCTGGGAGTGTGTTCAATCACTTCAAAAATTGTCTTGTCATAATCAAGTCAACTTATATTGGGTTTCTGGTCCTTGCGGGATTGACGGAAATGAAAGAGCTGATGCACTAGCAAGACTCGGACCTTCTCATAAGTTAATAGGGCCAGAGCCCTTCTGTGGGCTGCATCTCTTAGAATGGAATGGAAGAACACTTCCATTGCTAGGCAGTCGAAGCGAATTATTAATTCAAACATTTCCGCAAAATCCTGGAACTTTCTTAGAAAGATCTAAGCATATATACAGGTCTTATAACAGGTTATTGTCCGAGCCGTTATCGCTTGAAGCTGATTGGAAAACTTCAAGATGATGTACTATATGTCGCTTTTGTGGCATAGAGAAGGAAGACTCGGAACATTTTCTATGCCACTGTCCGGCAATAGAACCCTTTGACATTTGGAGATCAACTCCCAGTACGGCAGTGCACTTTATTCAAAGTGTAATGCCTTGCTGGGATAATGCTATTAGTCAAGCAATGGCGGTCACTCCTAATAATAGTGATACGGCATCTTGATCTAGCTAAAAAAAATTAAAATGTGGAATATATCACAATAGATCAGAAAAATAGTCGCAGTGATGAAAACACCCGACAAGGATTAAAAAAAAAAACCCTTTCACGCAAGCTATCAACTTGCAAGAAATGATACTTACTAAGATGAGCATTCATAAGGGCCTTACTGTGATGATCAATTTTCTTCATCGATTTCCTATTATGTTAATAACTCGGTTGAATTAACACTTCTCAGTGAGTTTGAGGTTGCTTTTGCTAACTAATACAATCTGTTACTATATTGCAATGAAAAAAAAACGGAAATTGGTCCCCTTAATTGTAGTAATGCAAAGAGAAAATTGATGTGAAAAATCCATTGCCGCAGCTAGGCCCTTATGATTCTGAACGCTAGATATATTATAATTTAAGGACAACGCGTTGAAACACTGTATGTGTTTTCTCCTAGTAGCACACTTAAATCACAAAAAAAGCAAGGGCTTAATTTTGATTTAAATAAGTAGCATTGAAGCTTCCGAGTCGAAATTTGCGACAATTGTGTTTACTTGTGGTTTGACCAAATAGAATCAAAATGAGACTGATATTAATAAAATTTAAAACTCTATTGGGGCGATTCAATTCACAAGATAGTTTTTTTGACCAACCCCAACCCCACCCCTTCCTGTGTCACGCTTTTTCCAAAACACGTACTGTCCCAAATTTTTGGACTCCTTCTGGACGGCATATTTGAACCTCCCCATAGTTACTCGCCAAAATATCCATAGAAACATTAAACCTTTTGCCAGACTCCTAAATGTTCGTCAATCTCTACCTTGTTGGACACGCTCAGTTGGTCACGCTCATATTTGAGGGCAACAATTCAAACTAGGAGTTGGCTGACATGTTCATTGCCCATGATTTCGATACCTAGATAAATCCCTGAATCACACTCACAACTTCCAACGGTGGCTTGGAGCAGTCGACCGAACCATCCGCAGCGACCTTGTCACATAATCCAAACACCGACACAATAAGCAGCAGCAGCAGCAGCAAAGGAAACCGCAATCTCGAACGAACTTCGCTTTTGGATTTTCTCAGATGCTGAACTTGAGCCACGACGGCCATACCTAACCGTAAACCAACGATAACGAACATGTTTCCCGTGCTTTTACGATTACTGAATGAATCTCGTACGGCAAATCGATGCCCACCTCGAGTCAATCAGCAAGTGTGAAATTGCGCATGAGAGCGCGCGTCGGTGACTTTTTCTCGCAGACTATTCAACTTTTTTTCTTTCGATTAACTACAAAGCATATGAATGTGCCTGTTGTGTCTGCAGCAGCCAAGCATAAAATTTGGTTTTTGCTGACTTTGTTGTGATTGAATGTACCTACGTGAAAAAAAAAACCGTAAACCATTACCCTGGATAGACAAATTTGCCGCAATTATCTACAAATTAAACTGAATTGTATGTGGCTTTATTTTTAGATCACAATAAATTCTGTGTGGGCGTGGAAAACGGCAATGCTCTTGTTGCGTTTGTTGCTTGGTAAAAATCCTTCTGAATAAACAAACACTTCTTCTGTGTGTATGGTGTTAAGGTAAACACTCTACTAATTCTTTTTCCTTGATTTCTTTTCCGTCCGTTTTTTTCAGTACTAATTCCAGGGAGTCCTACACTTGGACCCTACCTATCGACCCATCATCTCATAGTTCTGCGACCAACGGATTTACTTCCGTTAATAAGGAACATTCTACTAATTAACGGGAATTTAATCCAAAGCTGCAAAATGGGCCTTTTGATTATTCTAAATATTGGGTGTCCCAGAATTTCTAAGCACGATTTTAAAAAACGATAACTTAAATCCACAGACAAACAGACATAACACTCGCAAGTTGTTCATCGATCAAGCATTTAACGGTCAATTTAAACGTATCGACTATATCTTACTGGCGCGTATAGTCATTTTCCTTGCGTTTGACGTTTAAACACTACTGCCATCTGTTCAGTGTTCTACCCACCACAGTGTACTCAACAGATGGCGGTAATGCTTTAGCGACGATGTTTTATAGTGAGAAATATTCAATGTGTTATGTCTGTTTGGCTGTGGTAACACTGTTAACAGCAAATTCGATTTTTATTTCGTATTCATGTTCTCTATAATATTCCCTTACAGTTAAGGAACGGATTTTTGATTCTTCGATACTCAAGCACAGATGCCTGTCCAACTATTTTGGATACTTTTTTGCACAGCAATTGGTCGTACAACTTCCGAGACCTCGGTTTGACGGATGCGGCTTGTTTTTCACTACGTTTTGGCTTCTTCTGCTTCTTATACGTTTTTAAACTCATTCTTGCCTTGGCCCACTGGACGTTACTTTTCGAGGATCCCACTTTTTTAGCCACGTCTCGAACCGAAGCACTTTTCTTGCGATGATTTTCCGGTCCATATTTCGGTCAACAGGGTTCGTTTTACGTCCAGATTTTTGCTTATCCTGGAAAGTTGCTTCATCACCATACTTCCGAATCACGTTTCGAACGGATCCGATGCTTACACCCTACAATTTTGCTAATTGACTCAGAAATGTTGGGGATGGTACACCATTTGTGCACGATCTGTTTGCGCTTTTCTGGAGAAATGCTTCGCATTGTCACGGAAATGTAAAGAACCGACACTTGCGATACACGAATCTGTTGGTCGAAATGTAAATATTCAGCGTGATAATCAGCTGTTTAAACGTCATCTGAAACAAGCAGGGGTGTTCCAAAGTCGTGCTTAGACAGTTTGGTACACCCTATATATTGAAAAAATTAATATACAATCTGATCAATTAACGTAGACCTCAGACCTATACTCCTAAAAATACAAAAAATCGTGTTCGGTGATTTATTAAAAAAAGTCCTTTGGTTATTTTGGTGCCAAAACATGTTTTGCTTTGTATGAATATGTCTCCATAAATATATCTCCAATATGTTTGTAGCACTGCAAAAGCTACTTTGTACGGAAGAATGGTGATGATGGATTCTTAATATTTGTTTTAATAGTAGCAGAGGACTGAATTTAACATTTGATAACAAAAACAACCAACTCTGAAAATCGCAAACTTCGCGTATGAAGTAACATAAAACACTTTGAATGTAACAACTCAAGGTGGGAGTAGCCGTCCACAATGCTGATGATGGTACAACACGGAACAATCACCCTACTGCTTTCTCTCTGAGATGACTACGTAGGTCATGACGAGAGGAGCAACACAATAGTTGGGTAAAGAAGAATTGCATTATAACACAACATCGCCTGGAAATGCTTTCGGCAACGTAAGACTTTAGGTAGTGATAAATCATTTCATTAAAGCGTCAAGCTAGATGAGAGTAAGTTAAAAATAAAATAAATAAAACGTTCTAGAACTATTCCACAGCAAGCAATTACATACTTTCTTTTAACAGACTATGTTGAAAAAATAGCCCCAATTATCAATGCAGCCAGCAGTAGATTGGTATAAGGGAAACGCTCCTATAGTTGCGGTACGTTAGAAGCGTTAGATTCCTATAGTTGAGCATGAAGACTCAATACACAACTATAGGAACCTAACGGTTCTAACGTACCGCAACTATAGAAGCGTATACCCTAGTTGAAAATTGCCGCGAGGATTGTCACCTCAGGTGAGGTGACTCTCCATTTGATTTGCACTGAGACTAACCTCACCCGAGGTGACAATTGTCACTTCACTGTAAGCTCACCTCACACTCATAATTTTTAGTGTCTTTATACTTATTTCCTGGAGTGTATGAATGCAGTAGCGTTATAAAGTTTTCTCCGTTTTCTTTCCTTGAATTCAGCGTTCAATGCTTGTGCAAGCGCCAAAATGTATGCTTTGGAAAATGCAATGATATTCGGCTTCTATATGTGAACGCATTTCAGGCATAACATTTGATAACGGCACAAAAACATTTGTAAACAAACTTTTTAAGGCCCTTTACACGCGAACCAAAGTACGCCCACGCAAACCAATACCACTTTCGAAAAGGGGAGAGTTGCCCCTATCCGATGATGTTATTGGTTTGCGTGAGCGTACTTCGATTCGCGTGTTAAGGGCCTTAAAAAGTTTGTTTACAAAAGCTTTTGTGCCGTTATCAAATGTTATGCCTGATTTCATCAACGCTTTCACACAATACATTCACATAGGGTGATCCAAAAAAGTGGAAACATTTGAGACGCCATAGCCCAAGCAACACACAAGTTCTATAACAGTTTATACCACCTTTGAATTACTGTTTTTGGAAGTTTACTCAACATAATTCCACGAATATGCGTTACTTGGGTTGCAGCCCTATTAAAAACCCGAATTAAACAAACTATGGTGGGATCTGACCCCGGGTAAAGCCATTTGTTCCTCGGTCCGGATTTGTCGATAGGCTCCTGGCGTCGGTAGCATTGGTACGGAAAACAAGATCGACGGAAAACAAATCAAGGAAAAAATGTTCCCATTTGGAAAAACCATTGACAAGTTGCTAGGTGTCAGCATTTGCTCGATCATTAAATGATCAAATTTTGTTCGATGTTCCACTCCTAGTCCTGTGTTGGTGTGCTTGGCTCGAAGTACAGGGCACAAATTCCAGCACTATGTCATAAGTGCAAGATGCAGTGTTGCCTAGAAAGAAGTCGAATAATCATATCAGAATGTTATCTGCTTCGAAACCAATTAATAGCCCATAAGGCAGTCCATGAGACAGTTGCGATCAGCTGACTTCTTTGTTTGCCAAGAACTTTTGACAGATCACAGCAGAACTGGCAGTTTTTTATATAGATCATTTTTTTTTTAATTTATATATGCAAAAGTATGTTAGCCTTGTCTAATACCTCGCATTATCCTCACAGGACCTTTCTTTATTATCCTGATGATTCAACGGAAAGTCACCATTTTGTCTGGTCAGAGGCTAGACCAGGTGCACAGGATCCGGCGTAGTAGTCCTCGGTTTGCTATGTCTATCCGCAAAGGACCATCAGCTCGTTAAGGTGGTTTTCGAGGTTGGTGTCGAAACTCCTAACCGTATAGGAGCATTCCCCTCTTGACACGGTCACTCTGGACGCCTAAAAGGCTTACACAGCCACACACGATTGACAAATCACGCAAAACCATCGTGCGGTTAAACGACCATTCGCTACCGTGTTGGGAACCACCAGCCACTATTCGTCGTCAGCAGCAGCAGCGAGCCCTGGTTAAGTACGCGTCTTTGGATCCCTGAGTCCTTTATTTAATTGTCTGTTGCTACTTTTCTACGTCATTCGCCACGGGGAGCAAATTGAAAAGCTTCTCATTTAACATCTAAGCACACCACACTTTCTCCGTTTCGTTTTGTATTTGCCTCAATGTGATTGAGTTTTCATAAAGCTGTGCAATCGTTCTCCTCAATTTAATAAGCTGTAAAGCTTGCTCTTTGCGCTCAATTTGTGCGGTAATAACAAGCCTGTAATTACCTATGCAAAGTTTCATGAAATCCTAGGAAAGTTGCGTCTGATCAATTTGTTAGTTGACGTCGAAATTCACATAATTTTTTTAAGTAGATATTGTCCAGGGTTCTGTATTTAATATTATAGAAAATTTTGGTTTCGGATCGACGACTTCTTACGTTTTCTGTGAATACAAGAGAAATCATTTAAAGGAAAGATTTGCCGTTGGTCGCCGGTCCATGAGTTGATGACTCGATAGGTAGGGTTCGGATGTGGGAGCTGTCAGAAACGTTGATAGAGACGCGCAAAGAAAATTTCTGTCAAAACAGCAGCACGGTTTTTCAGGGACCTTATGGAAATGTCTCTGGCAACCATGTTTCTTCGAATGGCTTCAAATGACTTTCATACAATGCGAGATACAATGCTGGAATGCTGTTGAGAAAATTTGAACGTTCGATCCTCAGTTCGATCGGAACTGAATAAGAATTAAGTGCGTGGCAACATTTTGCAATAATAAAGCGAAGGCGAGAGATGACAGTCGCTCCATGACATTAAAACTTTTGTCATATTTTACTGTTTTGCTTGTAGCGCAATCATTTTTATTACCATAAAACTAAATAAAACGTTCTGATTCAAAATGGGTTTTTCACTATTAAATGTTGTTAAATTAACAATTAATAAATAAATAACAGATATCAAATACATCGTGAAAATAATTAAACACTTTTTTCATCATTGAGAACAATACTCCTTTCTGGTGAATTGAGCGAACAGCAATGTTTATTTACTTTGCTCGTTTGGTTCAGCGTTTGACGGTTTGTTTGGTTCTTCCTAAGAAGGAAGAGAAGACAATACGGGGGCGAAAACGAATCACTTTTCTGTTAAATGCGAACCAGCTCGTCATTGGCTGATTTGAAATCTGTAAAATAAAGATAGAGATATATATAGATAGAGATAGAAATAGAGATAAAAGAGTAAGAAGCCAGTTGTCTCCTCTTCCTCTTAAACTGGGTTTAGACAGGGCAAGTCAATTGATCAAGTCAGTTGAATTCAATTGGCTTGAAAAGTTGAGCCTGATTCAACTTTTTTCAATTCAAGTGAGTTGATCAAGTCGGTTGAATTCAACTGACTTGATCAATTGACTTGCCCTGTCTAAACCCAGCTTTAGGGTTCTTCTTGCTTCAGTCTATGCGTGTCTCTATTCAAGGTCTCTGGGAGCTGCCTCCCTGGCGCCGGTAGCATTGGTACTTAGTACAAAAAACAAGATCCATGGAAACCAAATTCCTGCTTCAATCACTTTAAAGAGAAATTTCGAAACATTTTTTTTTGCTGATTTCCCAAGAAAGTATTTAATTTTTCTTAAAATGAAGGCTATAGCCTAAGTTTTCAAATAGCGAACGATTTTAGGGAGCTGATTTTTTAAATAGTTTATCCTGTGCCTTTACCCTCGAGGCCTAAGGAATACAATCCTATATTCCTTTCGATGTTCGTGGGAACTCGTGATCTCTGCTATATGTAGTCGAGTTATATGTTTTTGAAAATGTTCAGTATATGAATTTAATTTCTTTGTATTTTGTCTCTCTTTAATAGTTTTTATTTGTCTTGTCTCCCCGTCACGATGAGTCTCAGACGAATCTAGAACCGTACCACCGTTCATACTGGCGACAACGCTCTGATGAGACAACGAAACCCAACCTGGGGGCAACTTGACACCTCCAGTATATTGCCAATGTACCCCGACAATTTGGTGCTTGTGGTTCTGCAAACTCACAAGCTTAGAATTCAACTCATTTTTGCGTGCCCACCAATCTGGAACGAGCTTCCGACGTCATAATTAACGTTAGTGACATAAGAAGTTCAGTGATGCCAGCGAGAAATGTCGTTTTGATTTTCAGTCGTATGCACAATTCATAATCAGTTTATAAACTTTTTTTTTGTAGTCTCGTGTGTGTTTAAGCAGAACAGAACCAAAAGTTTAAACATTGATTTGTAAAACAAAAATATGTGAGTGTTATCGAATTAATCGAAACAAATGAGAATTTAACGAGGATAATATCGGTGATTTCGACGCTATTGCTATTATCGTCGATGATGAACAAAAGAGGATGGTTTTGCAGCGAGTAAGAGCGTACTTATCACAGTATACCCCCGCTAATCCGACAAATTTGATAAACTGACTGACAAGTCCATGCAAATCAATGTTACCAATGTAAAAAAAAAAGCTCCATAAGAGACCATGATGTCGGATTCAGGAGAGCCGGAGTGGGGAGATACTGTATACGCAGCTAGTACTGCAAAATGTACAATTTGAGGTACTAGCTTAAAAGAAGTGGTGAATGTTGTACGTCTTTCGAAGGCCTTAAATGCATTTAAGCTAAATATGTAATATATCATGCAATTTGACTAATTTTCAATTTCAGCAGTTTACTTACCCCGTAAGAGAAACACAGGAAAGCTAAACTTTTTTTACGGGCCCAGGACAAGCCTTCATTGCACAACTATGCTCAAAGCAATAATCTGAAAGATAATCAAATTCAAGAGCAAAAATAACTGAAGAAACCAAATTATTTTTATTGCCATTCGATGATATAAGAAGATGAAACTCGGTTCAATTTGTATGGATTTACTTCATTTCACCACGAAAATCATAAATTAACTCTTTTCACATGGCATTCTTGTTTGTTGTTTGGCATCCACACATGGTAAAACAAAAAGTTGGTTTTCCATAGACCGGGGACTTGACCAAACCCCACCCTCAAAGCTCCTCTCCTGATTCTATCCTTCAAAAATGTACCCTTCTAACCTTGGGTAAGTCGCGAGTATTCGGCATAGCTCCTTCTTGGCTTAGAATTAAGTGAATTTTGTTAAAAACAAAGAACAATGAATTATCGGCTCTGTAAAACGATTGAGCCTTCCAAATAAACAAACTGTGCCTGGTATCCACTTTCTTCATTCTTCAAAAAATGATCCAGCCATTACCCATTATAATTATGATCTGTATTTGCCATCGCCCACTTTTGATTGAGTCTCTCTGATCAAGACTCTCAAGATACACCGAGTATTGCACATTATGAATAACGATGCTCGAGATGCACACCTCAACCAAACGCACTGAAAACACGTGAACCTTCGGCGATGCTGGTAAATTGTCACCTCTATCTGGTATCTTAAATGGCCGTGCACTTCCGATATTTAATTGCTATTTACTCACTGGTGTGATTCCCACAATGATTCCATCAGCCACCCTGGAACTAACCATCCATATCATATAAAAAGTGCAACAGAGTGCACAGAGCATTGCATTCTACCCGTTGGTTCCAGTTCTAACACAACAGTGCAGCAGTATGAAACAGTTCAAATCCAGCCAGTTGCTGATCGTGGCGATGATGAGTGTCTTTGTGGTGAGTTTGTTTTTGTTTCAGCTGGTGTAGAGTACGAAATCTAACGACTACTTATTGTTATAAAATAGGACATTTCATCGGCCATGGATTGCAAGGAAGTTTTCCAAAGGGTATTGACCAACAGCTTTGAAGTGAGAATAATAGTTCTAGTCTTAAGGTGGTCTTATTTTCCAGAAAGAAGAAATCAAGGAATGCTGCACAGCGCCAGCGGTTCTGAAAATGGACGATTTTGATGAGTGCATGTCGAAGGCCGAAGGAAACCACCATGAAAAGTTTTTCGTAAGTCCTCAAACTACACACTTAGAAAAATTCTTGTAAATTTAGGTGCTCTGAGACTGACATATACGAGCATTAATTTTGACATAAAGTTGAGTCATAATAGACGCAAAATTCGGCTCAATCAAACGTAATTTTCGAGTAACGATCTTTTCAGTATCGGAGCACTTTATTTTACATGACATTTTTATTTACGTCTCATCCTTTGACATGGATTCCGCCTCGTGTAAAATTAGTTATTTCTAAGTGTGTAGTTGTAACTTACTTTGACTTATTTGAAAATCAAAAATGCCTTCTCGCAGTGCGGGTCCGAATGTATGCTCAAAGCTCAAGGCCTGATGAACGGTGATGATGTCGACATGGATGGGATCAAAAAGAACGCTGAGGGTCTGGAAGGAGACTGGAAGGAAACGGTTCTGCAAATAGTTGACACTTGTGGACAGAAGATCGACGCCATCAAAGCCGAAATGGAGCAACGTGGTGGTTCCAAGGGACAGTGCAGTGCGTCGGCAGGTATTCTCGTTATGTGTCTCGGAAATGGCTACATCCAGAGCTGCCCGGCCGAACATTTTCATGAATGTGAGTAACGGTGGAGATTCAGGAGGCGAAGTGGAATTTTTCAACGTGTTGTCATTTTTCAGCTGAGCTATGCAACAAGGTCAAGAGCGGAGAGTGTGATAAGAGACCCAAAGGAGGACATCATCATTAACGATCCATGTTTTTATTCAGTAAACGACCTACAGAGGATAAATGAACTGCGAGTGTATGACAAATAAAGATTTCTTGAGCATTGTAACTGAATTTTGTTTGATGTTTTAGTCCAAGCAACTTCAATGGTGGACGCAAACCAAAAATATAGATAGAGCTGGAATTAGGGCGTAACAGCTTTTGTAAACAATGACTCCTCTCGATGATTTCTCGGAAGTCATGGTTCTCCCTGGCAAATCAACATCACCATCGAGTAGAGGAAGACTTCTACTACCCGATGGATGTGTTGGTTTGTGTAGGCGTGCCTTGAATTTCGAGAAATCAACAAGAGAAGTCATTGTTTACAAAGACTGTTACCTCCTAATTCCAGCTCTATCTAGAAATATACTACATTGAACGTTAGTTGCATTTCCTGTCATCCTCTGCAGCGAATATCGCACCGAATGATATAAGTTGACCTAGCAGACGATGTAATGGATTTTTGTCTATTTCGTGTTCTGTCTGCAAGCTTTTTATTTGTGCCTCGATTCTCTCCAAGTCCCTTTCAGCAGAAAAAGCATACGAAGTCGAGTATGAGAGAAAATGAGCGCTTCTTATTCGCTTTTAGCCTATATAGATTTCGAAGCTTGGAGATGGCAGTGGAAAACCCAACGGTCTCAAAATCGCAACGTTCGTGGTTCGAGTTCCAGTCGGCAACCTTTTTGTTTTCATCGACATAATTCATTCCACTCACTAATACACTTCACATTTTTCTTTCTCCATTTTCTTGCATTTGACCGCAGCTCGGTATATCGCATTCTCTGAATAAGAAGCGCTCATTTCCTCCGTACTCGACTTCGTTTGCTTTTTTCTGCTGAACGGGAATTAGAGAGAATAGAGGCAAGTGTCTACGTCGTTCTAGAATGTTATAAATAAAAAGTTTGTTGGTATAGCCGAAAGCGTAGACATAACACGAAAGAAAAAAGACAAAAATCCATTACATCGTCCGAGAGGTTAACTTAAATCATTCGCTGCGGATGATGATAGGAAATGCAACTAACATTCAATGTAATACATTTTTGGTTTGCGTGTACAAAATCGACAAAAACCAACTTTCATGGCTGCTCAAGTAGACTGAACTATTGAGATGAATTTAATTATTAAAAATATCATCGATCAATTTTACGAAAAAAATTGATATTGATATATCTGAAAAACCTGAAAGCCTTGAAGCATTATTTTCAGAAAAAAAAAGTTCCTTCAGCCCACCATCAAAGAGCTTCAAGATGAGAGGACATATATATATACATGTCATCCAGACTTAAGTTTTAAAAAAACACTAGTTAACCTTACTGAGGTCTAAAACCAACTGAACTGATTTATTGAATTATATTATAACCAAACCTACCGACGCCCTATCAATTAGCTGAGTAAGATAAATTTAAAGAGGGAACGTGGTCGCCGTGTTGCTGTTGCAAAGACGACAAAACTGCTGAGGTGTCTTCCGTCGTTGGCGGGTCCAAGGGTTGGTGACATCGTTAGTTGGTGGTGAAACTGCTGAGGTGTCTTCGATCGTTGGCAGGTCCAAGGGTTGGTGACATCGTTGGCTGCCGGATGACCATTTGCTGATGTAGGAATATGCCTTGCTTTGTACTGAGCTACCTTTGTGTTGCTGGGGAAGAATTGCTGATGTTTGGACTTGGGTGCGGGTTAGTGATCGTGCTGACTGCTATGCCGATTGCTGAGTCTTAGTCGTCGTCATCGGCGTTGTTGTTGTTGTTGTTGTTGTTGTTGTTGGTATGGATGATGACAATGATGACGATAATAGAGATGTACCAATAAAGTGATTGGTTGCTGTTGTTGCTAATGGTATGGATGACGGTGATGATGATAATAGAGATGCACCGATGAAGCGGTTGGTTGTGGTCCAAGAGGGTTCGTTCTTAACTACTCCCCCTTTTGAAGACGAATCGTCCCGATTCACTGAGATACTTCTGGTTTCGAGCGATCCTAATGGTTTAGACTCCTTGGATGTTCCAATGTGAAGAGAAATTTGTTTGCGTCTCCTTGGTATCCAGAAAAGGCCTGTAACGATACTTAAAAGGATACAGATTGTCGACATACTTAGGCTGTGAACCATTTGCCGAGTTAAATTTAACTCATGGTTAAAAGTGACATTTCGAAAGTTATTTTCTATGTTCGAAAATCCCCGTGCTGTCGATCGACCGGTTTTCAACCTACGGTTGTCAAAATTTAACTTCTTGTTTGTCAGAAATAACCATGCTCGGATAGCAGGGTTCATCGATAACTTTCCATCTGTCAAATTTTAACCAAAAGTTAAAATAATCCACCAAATGGTTCAGAGCCTTAATGATGTGTATGTCCGTATGTTGTGTTCCTTTGTCAATGTTTCGATGTAGTGCATGTTTCTTACGTGGATTTCATCGATGTTACGAACTTCCAGGGTCTTTTCGTTAATGTGCAAACCGTCCAGAGGCATTACAAATGTCGGTTCTGACTTATAGGCTTCGACGTTGTTGTATCTGGTGCCATTTATAAAGATGCTGCAGTTGTGAAACTCGATCAAATATGTACCGGATATGTTTCGTTTGGTGAGTCCACAATTTGAATCTACTTCGATGTCCTGAGTGTTTGTAGTTACGATATGATTGTCCGTGATTCTTCTTATCTCCGTAGGCTGAAGGCATTTTACGAAAGTACAATTTCCTGATAGTCCTTTCAGCAAATTTGAGTAGCATGAGTCTTCGGTTGCATCTATGAGGTTGTTAATGTTACACAGTCTCGTCTTCTCGATGTTTAGGCATTTCTCCTTGATGAAGTACGTCTTGTTACCATTATGCAAAGCAACACTGGCTAGTGGATTCAAAATTTTATCTGATATTGGAAGAGGTTCTAGTAAAAATTCGGTATACGTAGAGTTTTCTAATCATGGAATTGAAACTATAAATATTAGAGTTGGTTGGAAATGCTAACATGAAGCTTTAGTGTGATGATTTATTAGCTAGAGAATGATCTTTAGAAGAGTGTAGGTGGATAGTTCCGTTAGAGTACGGCAGTATGAAAATTGAATAGAAGTTGAAAATGAGCGAAGGGCCATTAAAGCGACAGTTTACAAGATAGACGCACATTTTTGCCTAGCCCGTACGATGTACGCGGGGACTTGAAGTATGTCTCCAAGTCCACAGGCAAAAATGTGCGTCCCTCTTGTTGCTCATAAACTGACTGCGGCTGTGGAATAGTTCTAGCGACGTTTTCATCACTACCTAAAGCCCCACGTCGCGAGAGCATTTCCAGTCGATGGTGTGTTATAATGCAGTTCTTCTTTACCCAACTATTGTGTTGCTCCTCTCGTCATGACCAACGTGATCATCTCAGAGAGAAAGCAGTAGGGTGGTTGTTGCGTGCTGTACCATCATCAGCATTGTTGACGGCTACTCCCGCCTTGAGTTGTTACATTCGACGTGGGGCTTTAGGTAGTGATGAAAACGTCGCTAGAACTATTCCACAGCCGCAGTCAGTTTATGAGCAACAAGAGGGACGCACATTTTTGCACTGATTCAAACAGATTTTCAAGATGGGTCTTCAGGTTATCTAAGTTGTAATTGATCTTTATAATTTCCCTGAAAATTTTAAAATTTTTGTTGATTTCGTTGTCTAACCTTGCTGATACAATATTTTTTGAAATAAGGTTTTATTGTTTGTTCAACCGGTTAATTAAGAAGTTAATTCGATTTTGTAATAGTAAGTTAATTTTAAGTAGCTCATTATTTTCGTTAGTGAGGATTTTATTATTAATTTGTAAATCAGAAATGCTTTTTGAAATTTCTTCGAAATCATTATGGTCCATATTCCCGGTTATTTCTTTTATTCCTGTCCCTAGCAAATTTAATAGTTCTCTCTTTCTTCGTTGCTTTGGTCGAAGACTGTTAAAGATGCTATAAACAGATTCATATTTTGTTTCTAGTATTTCAAACATGTCCGTAAAATTTGGAAAGTGTCGTATTCCTTGAATATTCGTGAGCAGTTTCCTAAAAATAGGCTCGTAATTATCCAATTCTATGATGTGAAAAAGCTAATGACTGCCTAGTTTTATAAAACTGCTGCCTGTGTCTATGGTGAGAAGGCCAGGGTTTTGTTAAAGGTTCTGGATATGGATGGATTGTGGATGCGATAGTTGGATATACAGGAACGCAATGATTGTGGTTAAGAATATCCGAATTGGTATCATCTAAAAAAACAAAATAGAGAGAGAGTTAGAATTTTGCAAAACTATTTCCGGATACGGCGAAGTTTTTCTTTGTGTAATCGTCGTTTTTTTGTATCTCTGTATGTGCGTCTTCTGTTATATTTGACTTGTATTTGCTGAAAACGGTCTTTAGTTTTAGATTTAATTCCTTGAATTTTATTGTATACCATTTCGTCGCGTTGTAGAGTCGGTGGTTTTTCTCTACTGCTGTTGTGGTACTTGTTTTGTTGGTTCTGTGTTTCCTTGAGTTTTAGTGCGGCTTCATCGTATTATTTGTTCCTTAGCTGGATCATGTTATCTTTATTCAGAGGTCGCTCTTCTCCAGTTTTGATTCCGTAAAAGATTTCGCGGGGTTTAAGGTTGGTAGCTGTATAGATACTATTATTATAAAGAGTATTACATTTTTCTTTGTTTGATAATTCTCCGTATTTATGTTTGTTGGAATTGAAAATTTCAGTTATGGTGGAATGGAATCTTTCTACTATTCCATTCATTTGGCTATGGTTTGAAGGGGTAAAATACTGCTGTATATTCAAATTTGAAAGCAATCCTTTGCAATACTTTGAAATTCTTCATTTTTTTAAGATATCTTCGAGCATGAGACTAAGTCAAACTTCAATAAAATCACTTTGAATAGTCAACATTTGGTCAAAAAGTTGGTAGATAACACATTAAGCTTTGCTATGAAAGTTGTCACAGCAGTTTTCGTTGTTTCAGTCTCGAGATACAAATATTATAAGCCGTAAATTACCTCAAAAACATAAAATTAACTTGAAGCACCTCTAAATCATCACCGATTTTGCTTTTCTTCTTTTTACACCAATCCTAGATACATATTTCAAAAGGTCATATCTGCAATGATTGATTCTCTTCATCGACTTTCTCTTTCATTAATAACTCAGCTGCAAAACCTTTTCCTGTCGAATTTGGCGTTTTGGACGCTAGATAAGAACCTCCTATGTGGCTAAATAGCGCGAAATCTGTTTGCATAGCAGTGGTTATCAAAAGAGAAAGTCGATGAAGAGAATCGATCAAAATCCTCTTCACATTCAGACTCGTAATCATTCTGAAACTTTTTAACACCGTCACATCCATTCCCTGATCTATTCCCAACTATTTTTTTTCTATCCCTGGTCTATTTTCGTCAACACGACACACTCAAAAAATCACATCAATTGTGTTTTCCCCGAAAATCCCAAGTAATTACTAGACTGAAAATATACTTCCAAATGAGTGTCGTTCCCCCTGCCGAGGACATAAACATATTATCATGTGATTACAATAAGTTAGTTTTTCTAAGTGTAATACCATCTTAATAAAAATGTATAGTGATATTTCAGAAGATGCAGAATAACATCTCAAGAAACTTCTTTGAAGACACCCCAACGCTAAAACATCGGGAGTTAAAATCAACGAACAGTGGGCAAGGGAAAAGAAATAATAACGTTCTGGGATTGCATCCAATTGAGTGAAGTTTCTTGGATTAGTTAGGACTACATCCACTAAATAAAAAATAGTTCAAGTTTTGGCCGCAAAGATGGTGCAGTGATACAAACTTTTTATTTCACAAGATAGAGGTTTGCTGTACTGGGAAAAGATGTAGAACGTAAAATTTAAGCAAAACTTGCTGAAGAACTAAAAGCTGTTCGTTTTCAAACAATTGCGGTATACGAAGTTTTATAAAATTTTTATCTGGAATTCAAGCTTTGGTATCATATTTTGAAAATTCGAATTCGTAGGGCAAAGTGCAGATAACCTTAACCATTTGTTTTGTATCAAATAGAGCTGTAAGAGAAGTGTAGTATCACAAACAGGTTTTCAACGTGCAACGGAAAGCATTAACTTTCACCTTAACATTAATGATCAAGGAATCAAAAATATCTCCAAATGACAAAATGACAAGCGATCAACGAACCGAATAACACTATGTCAGAAGTGGAAAGCAATAATGATACAATCTTCTTCGTTCTTTTTCATGACAAGCAGCCCATGCGACACAACTCACTCGGGGCGGTAGAAGGAAACGAGCAAATTGTTGGCAAGCTGCTTCACGAAGTAAACCCGAAGATGATACACGTGTGTTTATGGGAATTTTTTTGTTATGTCTTTTCTCGATTCATACGTGTATATTGCAACAAAGCAGGCAAGCAATACATCATTATCCTTCTACTACGCGGATCGAGCTATGTTACAGAGCGAGTTTGTCATGGTAGTCGTAGCAACCGTTTTGTCTGTATCGTTGGTTGCTTGATGTGTTTGAATTCGCTGTTCATGATACAACATGTGGTCCCAACACATATACCCCTTTATTTCGACATTTATTTCTGTATATCAAAATTTAACTCTCAGATAATAAGGCAGGAACAAATCACAAGTTTTTCTTTTGTCACTCGATGCTCGCACCAGTCGAGGGGGAGGGGAGAATAAAAAATAAACCAAAAAACAATAAAACATTTTAAATTCGTTTTACATTACAACGCATTCGAAACTCATATGTCATTAGCCAAATACATCCGTAGACCATAGGTCCACCGTTGTATAATTGGCAATGCACCCATGTACTGAATGGGAATTGTGGGTTCGAATCCCACCGGTGCCCTTAGATTTTTTCGCAAATTTTCTCACACGCACGTCTCTTGCCGATGATATGTGCTAACCTCTCAGTATCTTCTAACTGTCGCATATAACAAATAAAAATTGACTTTCAGTCGCTAACCTAAATCGAGGATTACATCTAAACCATATATTTCAAACGCTAACATTTTTTCTCAGCCTTCGCATTAGCTTTATACTTCTGTTGACTTTATTATATGTAATACTCGGGTTATCAACAAGACATTTTTTTTTTTATAATTACTTTATTTGTACAGGCTCAATCGAATAAACTTTACAGAGCCGAGTTATCCTTTGCGTTATACATTATTACTGTCTTAAATTTAAAGTTAAAGGAACTGGACCGAGTACTCGCGGTTGTCTCGAGGTTAGTGGAGATTTACAATTTTTTGGATGGGAAAAGGGAAGAAGGAGGTTTGAAATGTGGTTTACGATACAACTATTTAATTAATCCTAAAGCATGAAATTATTTCTATTCATCTTGAAAACAAACATTGAAAAAAAAACCCACACGTACAAAATACAAACTAAACACAAGGTTAATCAAACTTACAATCTAAGGTTAATATCCTTAAAGTAAACATATATGAGTTTCATAAACTCCAGATCGCGTCTAGCCAAAATATCCCGAACTGGAACATTAGGTTGTCTACCTCGAGCCCGAAGGGAATCATAAAAATGTGATCTGACTCCACGATACTCCACACAAGACCAAAGGATGTGATCAGCGTCCTGGTAACCTTGTCCACATTCACAGAGATTGCTGTCTCCCAACCCCACACGGAACAAGTGAGCGTTTAGACAATAGTGATTGGACATGAGACGAGACATCACGCGTATGAAGTCTCGACTCAAGTCCAACCCTTTGAACCATGCAAACTTCGACACCTTAGGGATAATTGAATGTAGCCATCGTCCCAAGCTCCCTTCACTCCATTGATGTTGCCAGCTAACGAGCGACTGCTGACGATAAATAGAAAAAAATTCACTATAGGCGATCTGTCGATCATAAATGTCGCCTTCCATAGCGCCCACCTTCGCAAGTGAATCCGCCTTCTCATTG